GCATGCGCCGCCGCTTCCGGCGCGAGGACGTGACGCTATGCTAGGCGCGCGCAGCGCGACGCCCGGCCCCCGCGCAGGCGCGCGCCGGCCCCGGCCGGAAGTTCGCGCGGCGCAGGCGCAGCGGCTGCCTCCGCGGCGCGCGCCTTTCCCAAGCGGGGGTGGGCGCCCCCCTGCCCAGCCCTGCCGCGGCCTCGAGGCCAGGCGCGCTCTGCGGCTCCCGGAGCCTCCCCGTTTCGGGGCAAGCTGCGCGATGGGCCCACACGGCGCACCCCCTCCCGGTTACCTGGAACCGTATTTCCCATTTGCTCCCCGTTGCCCGGCATCGAGAGATCGCCGTTGTTTGACGCTCCTTGGCCGCTCGGGTGTCACCCATACGCGTGACCACTCTTCACTTCCGTTTCCAGATGACAAAAGCATATTCCCAATACAAATCTCTCTCTCTGCTCCGGAGAGAATTTACCATTCCGCTTCCTATTAAGATCCATGACTGCTAAAGTTGCTCGGAACCTTTGGTGCCAGGCTTTGCCAAAGGCAGTTGGACCTTGTAGTGTCCATCACTTCCCATCACTATCAACTCTCCAGGAACTCTAAAAGGTTAACAAGGCAGGACTTTTCCTTTACAGAAGCCATGTTGATTCTTTTCTAGCAGGGCTTGCCTTTCTACACGCTAATTTCAGCTCTAGTAATGCTTCCCACCAATTTATTTGAAATTATTGGTATGCTAAATGGCCTGGATCCTGCTCCTTATCCCTTAAAAATGGTGTCACACTGTCCATTCTCCAGGCTTGTGATACAGGAGCCGATTTTTGGGACTTGAGTTCAACCATTTCACTATTGAATCTTTAAGGACTCTGGGACAAAGACTGTCTGGGCCCAGTGATGAATTGTCAGTAAGATCAAGTCACTAACTTGTCACGAAGATCAAGAACTACATCCTTCACCACCACTCTGCCCTTGTTCCTCAGACTTCCTGAAAATATAAGACAAGGCACAGGCATCCATTCAGGGTCATCCACAGTGAAAACGGATTTTCTCATTTGGACAAAACTTCTGTTTTCTGCTGTCTCAGCAGCTGCACGATGGGCCCACACGGCGCACCCCCTCCTGGTTACCTTGAACCGTATTTCCCATTTGCTCCCTGTTCTCCCAGCATCGAGAAATCGTCTGGAGGTTCGCCAGCACCAGGAATCGCCTGCACCAGGAAGCTGCCTCAGGAGTGTCGGATCATGAGCCTGAGCAGTGCCTGCACTGAAGGCTCTGCAGGGTTTCACAGAGCTCCTTCCCTAACCCTGGGGCCCTTTGTACGCAAAGCAGATGTTCTGCCACTAAACTGCAGCCTTCCCTTCATAGTTCCTGTTGTCTCGGAAATTATTCCACCCAAAGGCACCAGATTTAAATAAGCATTTAATTAGAACCCATTGGCATTATATTGCTTTCAATTAAAAAATTAATTTCCACTTCCTTGCAGGTATTTTCAAAGTACAATATTTTATACAAAATGGAGCAGTTAAGCAAACACTGTTATTTCACATTTTACATTCTTCAAAAATACAAATTCCTGTTTATGCTTCTGGGGTTTGGAGAGGCTCTTCCTTTGGAAGTACTGTACCTGTAACTAACATCTTCACATCACTCAATGCAAGGACATTTGTTCCCATCTTTCAAAATTAAATTAGATTTGCTTAAACACAACACACGTACTCCTGAGAAACTCGCAACTTCGAATTGTCTCTCGGTTGCTCCTAGTGTGCCTCTGGAGACCCAGGCAATGACAGGAGGCTGGGCACCAGGCCTCTTGGAGCTCTGCCATGGCAAGTCATGTGTTGTCACAGAGGACAGCAGGTGCTCAAGCTCATGGTCCAGGCTGGGGGAGGGAGCCAGAAAGGCACTTGGCAAAATTATCTGAAAGCCTCTGGGGGTCTCCACCTCCCTATGACAGGGGCTAACCATATACCTCTATGAGAAGGTGATGGTGGTGATGGAGGCGTTTGAAAATACCTCTCTCACCCCAGAGATCTTCCCCTGCAGTCCTCCATTCCATGCTGCGTTTTCAATAGCTGGTAACACCTCTCTGCCCAGTGAGAGCAGACATATCCACAAGCCCATTCTGCTTCCTTTCGAGGGTAATGCATGATACCCATCTCCTGGTATTCCTCAAACTAGTCCAAAGTAGGAAAGGGGTGGGTTCAATCCTTTATCAGATACCCAGTGGAACCTTAACATCTGTCTCCACCTATCATTCCAGACCATTACTGGGGGAACAGCAGTGCTTGCTGCTCCCCAAGTATACAGCTTCAATGTCTTAGAATTTGGAAAGAGAAGACTGCAGAGCACAGGAAGAAACACGTTCAATTAGAAACCTGCAAAACAAAACAACATCTCCCTGGGCTTTAACCGGGGTGGCGGGGGGTGACAAAAACCTAAAACGTCTATGCGTTAACAACAATGAAAGTACAAACTGCATTTTCTTAAAAGTGTCCACTGCATAGAAACCATTTTTGGCGGGCGTACATGCCACGAAAAGCATCATGTGGGTTACACACCATTTCCACTCATTTCTGCAAACGTACCCAGACACACATGCCCTACATAAATATCCAGTTTCCTTGGCATTTCTCAGTGCAGAACCAGAGTTCAAAATTCAAGAAACAAGAAACACTGCAGAAGCGGAAAGGCCAGCCCTCTCCCCAACTGCTTGGGATGCATATTCAAAACACAACTAGAGACACTATTTTGAGAAGGACGCCCCAGTTGGAAAAGTTACCCCACGCGACACCTGACTCCTGGCAGAACGACCTTTGCAAATGGAAGCACCTGTTGAGTTGCTGTCTCCCCATGTCTCAGTTCCTGAAGAGCAGCTACCTTTGTCCAATTATTTGCATCCACAACTTAACTATTAGCATGTTCTAGCAGGAAGAGAGAGAAGAGAAGGGGGTCCATCTGAAATGCAGAATAAGGCCGGAATGTGATATCCAGAAGCCCAGAAAGATCCATTTTAGAAGGTGCTGCATATAGTCAACGGGCAACCGGTCTACCCTGTGCCTCCCCACACACACGCCCCAGCATGCCTTTCCTTCGGCAGGGTGTTCAGAAGAGGAAGCCAGCTGGGACAAGCAACTACTGGCTCTGAGCCGTGACCGACAGTGTTGCAAAAATGAGTGACTAACCTGATTTCATGCAGCTCAAGGCTCCTAATGATCTTTTGCATAGACTGGATATTTGCTCAAAGATGTGCAAGTTGGAAGGGGCAGAGTACACAACTGAGGTGGTTCTACTATCCACTCTGTCAGGCAGACAGTCTCTCTCTCTCTCTCTCTCTCTCTCTCTCTCTCTCTCTCTCTCTCTCTCTCTCTCTCTCTCTCTCTCTCTCTCTCTCTCACACACACACACACACACACACACACACACACACACACACACACAGCACATGTGGACACCATTTGTAGCTACACATATTGCACTGAGGTTAAGTGCTCTTCTTTTTGCACACCCACTTTAACTTTTACTCAGAGCAAAAAGGAGGTGGGCAGCAATAACGCCCTAACAAACTTTGTGAAACGTTATTTACAAATGAAATTGCAGCAGTTGGCTTAAAGAGAACTAAAGTGCATTTAAAGCCCAGCATGTTAGTGTCAATGGAGCAGCCCTCGCAAAATACTTCCCTTCCTGACTCCAGCAGCAGCAACTCCCGGAAAATGTCGCAAACATCCACCTCAGTGTGTCTCCTTCTGGGCCATAAGGAAGTCGCCAGTTGCTCTCCACGTTGTGGCTGCCGACCACAGCCCCATCCCCCAACCCGAGCCCAAGCAGAGCAGGGTGGGGGCGCCCAGAGGCCCTGTTCTGCTGGGCTCCTGCACTTCTGGAACAATTGCCTTGGCGACCGGCACCCTTTCCCAGCTATCCTGCGTGGAGCATCTCCATGCCCAACCAAGGACCACCTCCGGCTATGCCAATGCCTTCTGCACACGAGAAGAAGCCTCACGATGCCCTGGTTGTGTCCAACTCAGTGAATAGCATCAGGAGCAGAAATGAAAACTGCCAAATGGGCCTTGAAACACCTTCCTCGTGGCCTGTCCTGCTCTCTGCCAAGGCACGCAGCCCTCCGGGAGAGAACCAGGTGAGAGCTCGTTCACGCGCAGCAGCTGCTGCGCCACAGAGCAGGCTACTTTCAGTGGCTCCGCTTCCGTTCCTTTCCAGGCAGAGCCTCCTACTCTCTGCCAAGGTAACAGAGTGGCTACAGAGAGAGGCGCACCCAGGGAGCACGGGCATCCACTTACAGCAGTGCCGGGGACACACCCCTTCTTGGCCTTGTGTTCCGAGTGTGTCAGGCAGACCAGCCTGGAGTTCCCAGCCCAAGCTCTGCCCTCTCCTGCTCCTGCCCTTGCTGACACCTGGGCGCACCACCTCTGCCACCCAGCTCACCTGTGCATGCAAGAAGCTTCCTCAAAGCCACTGCCTATAGACAAGCACCAAGCCCAACCATGAACAAAGACTCTCCAGTAGCTGCCTTAGAACGAGGGACGGGGCGAATCCCAGCCGGGTGGAAGGCCACCATGCAGCAAAGCCTTCCCAACCTGGTGTCCTTTGGAGGGGTGGGTGGGGGTGGGGTTGCAACTCCCACAATCCCAAGCCACTGGCAATTTTGGTTGTGATTTTCAGAAGCTGGAGTCCAACAACTCTGGACAGCAGATGTGCGGCATCTCTTCCTTAAAAGTAACAATAGTAGATCACTAAAACATTACAAAGGAGATTTATCAAATCCTTACAGGATGGAGGAGAGTCTGTGTTAGGATTTCACCCTGAGTAAGTTAGAAGATACAAAAGGATGCATTTTCCACTGCAGCACACTGAGGGCAGAAAAAAGAGGAAGGCTTTGGAACACGTGGGAGGCCTGGTGGGCCAAGCGCAAGCTCTTTGCAAAGGAGAGAAGTGGTCCTGCAGGTATGGCCAGGAGGAAGCAACCACAGGACTTAGCAAGTGTGAGGTGTGCACTTTGCCAGAGCGGGCAGGATTGCTTATGTGGCAGGAGAAGCTCCACCTGACCAGCATGGAGATTGCATGGGTGCCTTTTCGTGCCACCAGCGGCTGCGCTGGGCATGTGGTTCTGGGAAGGCCCAAACAGTGCAAATTCTGAGCCCTTGAACTCGTGTAAGCACCCACAGCACTGCTCTGCCGAGACAGAGGGAGTCTTCTGCCAAGCAGGACACTACAAAAGCAGCGGTGATGGAGCAACTCCACCTCTGCATGTGCAAACTCTGAAGAAAGGGTGCGCCTAACTTTCCTTCCCAGCCCAGGAAGCACAAGCAGGAAGACGAACCCTGGCGGGGCCTGCTGTCCACCTCTCTCTGGCCCTGGAGGGGACTCCCTCCCCTCATTGCAAAGTGCAGCTGCCTTTACAAGGAAAGGCACCTGGCCGCTTTGTTCTTAGCACTTAAGCAGCTCCCCTCCCTCCATCGCAAGAATACAAATAGTGCACACTTAGAAGTGAAGACATCCGCGGGAGCGGGAACACACCTCTAGCACGGCTGCCCACCTCCACTACCACCAAGCAAGGTGCAGCGAACAGGTGAGCAGCCGGCCCTCAGAAGCTGCTCTAGGTGACTCCGATCCCTGTGCTCAAGCCGTAAAGGGCAGAAGTGACCCGGGAGTGCAGCCCAGCCGTCCGGACGGCGCTTGTCCTTCTCCCGACGGGCCGGCCTCACCTGCTAGGAAGAGGACCCAGCTTCCAGGGAGCATCAGGCTCTTGCTTGTCCAGCCCCTTGGGCCAGCGAGGAGGGCCTCACTTGGGGAAGCTGCTGCCCAGGGCAAGCTCTTCCTCCCCTTGCAGGAGGGCTTCAATGGGGGTCAGAGGGGAGGTGATCCCAGGGCGCTGAAGGGAGAGAAAGTCTGAGACATCCATGGCACTTAGGGACTGGTTCTGCAAGTCTGACGGGTTCCCCGCCAGAGTGCTCTGCTTGCGAGGAGCAGGCAATGCTGATGAAAGGGCAGCAGCAGAGGAGGTGCTGGTGGCCACGACAACAGGGAAGGCTTGTGGCTGAGGCCCAGACGCTCCTGGCAGAGTCTTGGGGCCACGTGAGGAACAGTTGCTGCCGCCACCGCCGCCGCCTGCTTTGTCCTTGCTCAAGTCCCGGCAGGCACACTGGCACTGGCAAGCCTCTTCCTGCTTGATGATGATCACAGGCACACTCAGGCCAATCTGCTGCACGGCGCTCCCTGCAGACAAACAGCCCCATCAGTGCTGGGGCAGGGCCAGCCGCCTCTCTGCTCCACCACATCGGCAGCAGCTGGGGAGGGCTCAGCGGCAGAAAGGCTGCTGGCCTGTCTGCAGAGGGAGAAAGTTCCCTCACTCCCTGCAGCAGCAGCCCACCCAGACCTAGCCAAGGCAGCAGCGGGGCTCCTGCTACAGAACAGCCAGGTGAGCGCCACAAGCCTCCCTTGTTCGGAGGCATGGAAGCCACCCAGGTTGCGGAAGCCCCGCTGCCCCAGCCATGCTGTGGGATGCTTCGCTGAGTATCCGTCTAACAGGCAGAGGCAAGCGAAACTCTGTGCCCTTGCTCTTCCTAAAGGCTCACCCTGAAAGGGTGTTCTCACCTTTTCTTCACTAGCCTCTCACTGACCGCACCTGCTAGGCACTTGTAGAAAGGAAGGCACACACTAATCAAGAGCATCGGAAGGTGATGGATTTCACCTGCTTTCACTCAGAGAGCAGCTGTGGGGAGGAGAGTTCCTACTACTCCTCTGTGTTAAGCAGCAACACATGACGAAAAGTGAGCTAAGGGCAAGTTTCCCCCGCTCACAATGGATCTTGCAGCCCCGGTCCAGGGCAAGCGCCAGGCCAGGCCAGGCCAGGCCAGTGAGAGTGCCATCCCATCCAGTGCCCCACGAGGGGAGGGCAGGAAATGATCCCAGGTTTTATTACCTACCTGCATTACCAGCAACAGGCAGGGCAGTTGTAAAGAAGACTTTCTCCACCACTGGAGCTGGTGGCTTCAAGGAGAGGAAAAGAAATCAGCACATCAGCCCTCCAGAAAGCAAGGCAGAGCCCCCCCCCCCCACCCGCCCTGGTAACTGTCCCACAGCTTGCCCCACAGACTTTGCAGGAGCACAGCCAGCTCCCCCGGCAGATCACCTGGCCCCCTTCATGCACGCTGGCACCGAAAAGGGCAGGGGGCGCTGCTCACCCTCTGCTCCGGGCTCTGGGCTGTCCTGGCGGCCCCGTTCAGGAGCCACTGCAGGTTCTGCTCTCCCATCACAATGCCAGACTGGAGAATGGCTGTGCCCTGCGACGGGGCGATGGTGATGGCCGGGCTGCCAGCAAGCACTGAGCTCCCTCGGGCGGGCCCAGGCTGAGCCCCGCTGGGCAGGACCTCAGCAGCGCCCCCCGCTGCCTGCCCAGGGCTGGTGCCCGCTGCCACAGAGCGCCCAGCTCCAGCAGGCTGTGGGGTGGCCTGCACGGGCTGCAGAAAGCCCTGGCGACTGGCTGCAAAGAGCGTGCTGCTGGAAGCAGACGCTTCTGGGGGCTGCAGGACAGCGGCAGAGGCCCCGTATGCTGCCGGCTGAGTCCCGGCAGACGCAGCGGGTGGTGCTGGGGGAGGTGGCTCAGAGATGCCGAGCTGCAGAACGAGCGGCAAGGGCAGAGCGGCTGCTTCTGCTGCGGGGGGCTGGACGGCAGGAGTTGGGTCCACATCGCCATCAAAGTCGTCCATCAAGGCATCTGCCAAACAAGCAGCACAGTGAGGAACCAGACCGGGACTGGGCTCCTGGGTTCAGCTGTGGTCCAGGGCCTGTCCCAGTGCTGCCCTGGACAGCAATTCCAAGCAGGTCTGCGCTGCACAAGAAGGCAAGGGCCCTGCGGCACAGACCCGGCCTGCCCTGCCAGACACCACTCTCACCTTCTGGGCTCTGATGGGGCAGGGCACAGCACCAGGCAGAATGAGTCGCGCAGTCGCTGTGCTTTTCTCCAAGGCACGCTTTCTCAAGGAGGCCAAACAGACAAGAAGCAGCTCTCCCAGATGAACACCCTGGGAAATACCCCGTGGGCCTTTCTCTCGTAACCCTGCAGGCTCTCCCCTCCTGCTCGGCGCTACCATGGAACGCATCACTTCACAACCACAGGCTAGCAAGTCACAGCATGATGGAGCATGCACCCCCAGAGAGGTAGCAGGGATTTTGGGCACAGACTGAACTGAAGCCACCATGCCCTTTCTTCTTTAGCTTCTGGGCATGGCTTCCTCCAGCCATACAACCCTGCCCAAATGGCAGCAAAAGCCCGCAGGACCCCCAGTTCTTAAGCTCTGGGATGGCTTGCCAAGCCCTCAGGGTCACTGCTGTTTCCAGGATGAGTGATGATCAACAGCAAGCCAAAGAGGAACAGCAGTCTTATACCTGTGTGCTGTGGGTCCTCCTGATTTGTGGCTTCTGGGCTCTGGAACATCGACTCAAAGATGCTGGCTGGTGAGATCGTGCTCAGGTCTTGTCCGTGCATCTGGGAAGAGAAGCAGCGAGGCATGCAGTCAGCTGCTGGTGCCTTCACTCAGCGCCAGTGCCACGAGGCCTCAGACAGGCCCACCAAGAGCAGCCTTTCCTTCTGGAGCGCATAGAGATGGAAGAAGCTGGCTTGCCTTCATCAGAAATTAACTGCTGAGATGGGGAGCATCACTGGATGAGGACTCACTCCAGGCAAGATGGAGATGCTGACAGTGGGTGTCCAGTTGAGTGACATCCAACCTGTTCTGGATGGGATCGCACTCCCACTAAAGAGCAAGGTTCATGGTTTTGGGGGGCTCCTGCACCCAGAGTTGTCACTTGAGCCACAAGTGGACTCAGTGGCATGAAGTACCTTTTATCAGCTTATGCTGATACACCAACCACAACCCTACCTAAGCAGTTATCCGTGCTCTAGCAGCCTCTCACTGCGATGCTCTGTATGTGGGGCTGCCTTGAGAATGATCTGGATACTTCACCTGATCTAAAACCAGGCAGCAAGACTGTTAAGGGGAAATAAGTCATGAGAACCCTCCTGTTCCAGCTGCATCATTTGAAGTCTGGGCCTGATTCAAGGCACAAGTACTGACAGTTAGAGCCCTAAACGGCTTGGAGGCAGGTGAGCTGAAGGATTGCCTCTCCCCATGTGTGCCTGCCCAGGCCCCGAGGTCATCTCCGGGGTCCTTCTCCAAGAGGTTTCCAAAGGAAGTGAGGCGAGGTGGCTACCCGAAGGGCCATTGTGGTTGCAGCGTGGGCTCCTCAAAGAGGTGTGTCTGGCACCCACTTTGTGTTCTTTTTGATGCCAGGGGAAAACCTTTATATTTTCCCAGCATTTTGTCATAGTTCAACTTCTTTACTCTGTTTTTATATATTTCATTTTATTCTGTACTGCTGCTATGCTTCTATGCTGATGCAATTGCAATTATGGTTTTGTTTTAAATTAGTTTTGTTTTGTGCGTGTGTATTTTTAAACTTTTTTTAACAGTCCAGAGAGCCTCAGCTAATGGGCAATATAAAAATGAAATAAGTAACTATCCAAAGAAACTGTGATCCATGAGCTCGATGCTCCGCACTGCCGATGGTGCCGCCGCAATCAAATGTAAGAGATACTTACTGGATTCGAGTTATCCCGCAGTTCTGAATCGGTGGACATGAGGCTCAAGTCACTCAGGCAGAGCGAGTGATTTGTGTCCTGCAGAGAGAGGCCATACATTAACTAGTGGACCACAAGGGCCGAAGTGGGGTTCCAGATGCTGCTGGATTCCAACTTCCATCAGCCTCAGTCAACATATACGACAGTCAGAGATCATGAGCTGCAGTCCAACTGTACTGGGAAGGTCGCAGGTCCCCATGCTCAACTCAGAATTACAAGCAGGATGAGAACCAGAATGATTTAGGAACAGTTAGTGAGAGTGATCAGAGACTCAGGCCAAAATCCCTCTTCTGGCACTTTAAAAATAATGAATTATGAAACACCACACATGGGAATCGGCAGCAGAAAGAAACTCCAAAACCGCATGACAGAAGTCAGTTACAGATTTCCAAAAGAACGCACAATGGTCGGCATCAGTCACCATCATACCGATCCTCCCTACTCTGGCCAGCATCCACCCTTGTTACCAACTCAAATGACTGACTAGGAAGCCTTAAAGTTTCACTACTATTGTTCAAACCATTAACTGAAAACCAGAAGGCATGCCGATACAGGATGAGGGTCTGTGTCTGTTTTCTCATCATTGCTAACAGACACTGGCAGGAATTCCAGACCAAAAGCGAAGCAGGAGGGAAAGGAGAACCTACCAGGCTTACTCTGCCTTTGCTGTGAATACAGGGCACGGCCTCATTCAGAATCAGGCCTGCCTTGCTCCATGTAGCCTAGAACTGTCAACACAGACAGACAGCAGCGACTCTCCAGGCTGCAGGCAGAGGTTACCCCGTTCTACTGGGAATGAGGGGGGACTTCCTGTGTGCAAGGCAGAGGCTCTGCCACTCAACTACAGCCTTTCCTGACACTCCCCCCCACCCCCGGCTCAGAGTATAACGGTCCTTCCAGCCACAGTTCACAGGTAAGCAAACACTTTCCATTCTAAAGGTTCAAACCAAACTGCTAGCCTAGTAAGGGACTGAATTTCCCTCCACAAAAGCACAGCAGATAAGAAAATGTGAGCAACTTGGGGTTTTTTTTTCTTTTTTTAAAGAAGTTAGAATCTATTCCTGAAAAATCTGCGCTAGGTCCTACTAATCAAGACATGGTTATTAAGATACTTACAGAAAGACTGCTTTATCATCTATTCTAGGACCTGCTCTAGTATAGAAGCCAGACTGACTGATAAGAAGTCAGTTTCCAGGATCCTCCTATCCCCCCATCATGAAGGTATGTGGCCAGCTCCCGCCTTGTTGTACCTTACACATTCTCTAGGGGTTCTCAAAGCTGAGGGAGTGTTCCAAAGGATGCATCACCAAATTTCTTCAGCCAGCCACCCCTCCCCGCAATACTGCAACTCGTCTTACTCCAAAGACTTGAGCTCATTTATGGGAGCTTGGCATTTCCCGAGGAATTCTTATAAATCCTCATAGCGCTGCAATCCTCACTGCAATACTTTTCTGGGATGGCACATGGTACTCCTTTGGGCAGCAGGCAAGACAGAAGTTGTGCTGCCCTGACTTCTCTCTGTCACCCATTAACCCTTTTGTTTCCTTTCCGAAAAGCCTTTTCAACAGACCCTGCATGTTCTGAACTTTAGCTCTTTTAACACTGAGTCTACCAGCCTGAGCTATGCATCTTTACCCTTCCTTGCTGACCTGATCTTCCATTCTACTTCCTATAAATACCCTCTCTTATTTTTATCTCATCACTATTTGTGCGAGTTTTGTTTTGCCTTTTTTTTTTTTTTTGCAACCAGGGGCTTTTTAGAGGCCTCCCATTTTTTTTCTTTCTCCTTGAACTACTTGTTATCTTTAGTAAGTCCTCCTTCAGGAGCTTCAGTCTTTCTCCTATCAAGCTACAGAATCCTAGAGAGCATTTCTGTGAGCTTAGTAAACCCAACTTTCCTAAAATCCAAAGTGTTATTTTCAACTTTCTGTAGTATCACCAATCCCAGCATGACAAAGTTACTTCATTACTACACACAAATATTTGGCAAGCATTGTTTGGGCCTATTCTGTTTCAGTGGCAGAGTTACTCAGTGCTGGATACTCATTCTGCATTGTCCAATTTCACCTGTAAAATGCCTGAGGAGCTCCTGCTTCTGCCAGAGCAGCCTGCTTTTGTGCAGAACGGTAGAATATACTTACTTTAAATAAATAAGGAAGGAAGGAAGGGAGGGAGGGAGGGAGGGAGGGAGGGAGGGAGCGGAGATCTAAACAGTGTCCCCCAATATTGGAGATATTGATGGCTCTACACCCCATGCGATCTAGTGTGCAGACCAAGCTGCTTGCTTTTCCACTGGAGAGGAAGGCACCCACCTCAGAGAGGCTGCTGTTAGAGAGCAAAGTAAAGGAGGGCACCTTCTCATGTCCCTTCATGTGGCTCTTGAGGCTATATTGTGTGCTGAAGGCCTTCTCACAACCATTACTGGGACAGAAGAAGGGTCTCTCACCTGCAACAGAAAAAGTCCATGTATTGTACTAGTCCGTCGGCTTCTGAATTCCTTATTGCTCAGCTGATGCTTCAGTGGTAGCCAAGTTGTGTTCCCACTGCACGGGACTGAAATTGGGCCCTTCACTCACGCGATCCTGGTGTAGCAGATTCCATCACTCTTGCATTCGTGCACTTGAGCTGACTCCCACAACATGAGGAGCCATGTGCTTGTTTTTAGCCACTTTTAGCATTAACTTGCCCTTAATTCTGCGTCACTGTCATATGGCTGCATCTGCCTTCCCCAACTGGGCACCCTGCAGATGTGTTGGTCTACATCTCCCATCATTCCCAGCCAGCATGGCCCAAGATCTATCAGTGCTCAAGATGCCTGTGGCCATAGATCTGTCACAAAAGAATTTCAAGAATCACCTGTCCCCAGTGCCTTACCAGTATGCGTCCGGACATGTGTCTTCAGGTGATGGCTTGCAGCAAAAGCTTTCCCACAGCCATCATGATCACACCTACGAGGAAAAGAAGACAGTTGCAGAAACTGTTCAAATCATGCCTCTTGCTTCCTCCTGCAGCAGGACTATAACAGGTCTCAATCCGGACTTGGGGTGGAAGAAATCTCTGCTGGAAAGGCAGTGTTATCAGAAAGGAAATCGAGGAAACAAAGAGACCAGTACAGTCTCAATGCAGCTTGCTAAGAAAGTTCGGGGCTGACCAAGGCAACACCTCTGGGCCTATCCATGATGGGGCTCCGTGCCTTTCAGGTTTTGAAGGAAGGGAAAATCCTGTCCGTGCTGTTGAAGTGTTGACTCCCAAACAACTAGCAAAGGCTACCAGCAGTAGAATTTCTAGCCATGAGCAATGGAAAACATTGCATGGTTATGGGTTTTTAAGGTCACGTAACACCTGCCAAGCCAGAACTTTTTTCAAAGGTGGATAAACTGTGGAATCAGCATGAGAAGATTTGGAATTAGGTGGGTCAAAGGCTAGGGTGCGTTCAGCACATGGCCTTGCTATGGAAGACCACAGAGGGGCCTGGGCCTCAAAACGAGCCAGTTTATGCTCCCAGAAGTGCCTGAGCGGAGCTCCAGTCCAAAGGACGGTGCAGCCCGGGTGTTGTCCAACACCGCAGCATGTGGCCAGTGGCCCAAGGCCCTGCCCACTGGAGACTCACCTGAATGGCTTCTCTCCTGTGTGGGTCCGAATGTGTTTCCGCAGATCACTGAGTGTAGTGAAGTACTTGCTGCAACCCTCTGATTCACAGTTAAACGTCTTCCCTGTGTGAAGCCTCTGGTGGGCTTTCAACCTGCAAGTGGAAACACGGAGTTTCCATTACTGCCAGCCCCCTCCTGACCAAGACCCACCTGGGAGGGCAATTGTGTGATCTCCTCAGGGCATCTGCAGTGGCTGGCTCCATCTGGGACCAGGAGTCCAAGCTAAGGAACTGTCGTGTGGCTGGAGCACTCTTCCCACGCACTCACACAGGAGCAGGCAGTTAGAGCTTTAAATCTTTTATTCTAAGGAACTTCAAAGCTACGCAGCCAAGAAACAACAAAGGAGCTTGTAATGATGAAGTTAATGGGACGCTGTCCCCTCTTTCTGAGGGGGATCAGATTACGAAACACTCGTGACCGTCTGGGACGCCCCTCCCTGGGAGGGTCAGACAAGCTTCTCTCCCTCCTCCTCCCCATTCCCAGGTCTTTATCTCCATCTTGTCCTGCCGTTTCCACGTCACCTCCCTCTGCCCTCATTCTGTTATCAGCTTCTGCTGAAAAGCTGCCTGTCTCCTCCGCCTGAAAAACTCTGTCAGAGTCAGAGAGTGGGGGGGTGTTTGTACAATGGGCACCAGGTAGAAATCTTCCTGCTCTGAAGCTTGATTCTCACAGGGAGCACCCTACTCTCTCATGTGCACCAACAACTCCTCTGAGTTGGCATGCATGACAGGAACTTCAGGGAAGAATGGCCCAGATTTTGGGCAATGAAATGGGCTCTCCTTTGCAGCAGTTTAATACAGCCACAGCCCAGAAGGGGAGGTGGGGAAGCTGCACCTCAGACAATGAATTTCAGAACAGCTAAGAAACACAGACATGTGTGGAGGAATTTTTACAGGGAAAGGAATGAATTTCCCCCCTGAAAATAATGTTTGTTAAGTTTAAGTTTATATTTTGATGTTTCTAGCAAGGACAATCTATTCTCACTAAATTTCTCTGTCTGGGGTGGGCGGGAGGAAGGGGGAGGTGCGCAGAGCTTTCTAGTCTGGAAGAATGGAACGCTCCGCTCTTACCTGTACAGTGTATTAAAGGCCTTTTCACAGCCCTGAACATCACACTCAAAAGGTTTCTCCTTGGTGTGGACTCGAACATGGATTTTGAGGCTATAGGATGTTAGGAAGGCTTTCCCACACCCCTCCTGGTTGCACACAAAGGTGTATTCCCCCCGATGTGTCTTCTGATGGGTGCGCAGGTTGCCTGCAGTGCTGTAGGTACGAGGGCAGCCCTCAAATGTGCACTGGTAGCGCTTGACCTGTTAGACAGGAGAACACGATGCAGTTATCCAATCGGCAGAATGCTGGCAAGCCAACCTACCAGCCCAACCTACTGCACAAGGCTACTGCAAGAGAAAACACCGGAGGCCCTGCACGTGCTGCGACCCTCACCAGTCGCTTCCCCATACATTAACAGTCTTGCAACAGTTTGTGCCAAACTATGGGAAAGCTCAGTCCAGTGCTCATATTCAGCCTTCTCAAAACCCCTAACTTGCCTATAAAGATCCCCTCACAGTCTCTTCTCCGGGCTGAAAAGACCCAGTTCCCTCAATGTATCCTCATATGTCATCCCTCCCAACCCGCCTGCCATTCTTGTGACCCTGCGCTGAACCAATTCTAACCTAAATATGTCTCTCCTGTAATGTGGAGCCCAGAACTGGGTGCAGTGCTCCAGTTGTGGGCGCACCAGAGCTGTGTAGAACTATCAACACCACCCTAGATCTGCGAGCCACGCTTCTGACTATACATCTAAGGGTGGTGTTTGCCTTCTTAACTGCCACGTCACACTGCTGGCTCATGTTATTCGTTGTTATTTGTTTTTTGGCGCCAGGCTAAGACCTTTTTATTTCAACAATATTTTATAACTTTTAATATTAGCTATATATGTTTTAATCTGCAGCCAGGGTGGATCTGGAATTTATTTGTATTATGTTTTAGACTACTATCTTATTTATTTATGTAAGCCATCCTGAGGCATTGCAAAAGGATGGCATATAAATATTCTAAATAAATTAAATAATAAATAAATGTTCAGCCTGCTTTCAACAAGTACCCCGAGGTCCCTTTCACAAGTGCTGCTCTCCAGCCACCTGTCCCCTAACCTGTACTTATGACACCCATTCCTGTGCCCCAAGTGCAAGACCTTGCACTTATCCACATTGAATGCCATCCTGTTGCCTCCTGCCCACTTCCATAGTCTGTCCAGATCCTTCCGGATCCAGAGTTCCTGCTCCTCAGTTGTGGCCACTGCCCCCCCCACCTTTGGTATTGTCTGCAAATTCAGTCAGCATTTAGTCTTAAGAGGAAAGACTGAAAGAACTGGGCATATTTAGCTTGGAGGAGAGAATTACCAAGGGAAGAGATGATAGCACTCTTCAAGTCCTTGAAAGGTTGCCACACCAAGGAAAGCCATGAGATAGATACGTATTTCAGTGGCCCGTATGTTCTGTCCCATATACTTGCTAAGAATAATGATCTGAAACACATTAATTGTGACTCCGAAATCACCAAGCTGGCCTAATTTGGAATTGTCATCTATTCATTGTATGAATGAAGCTATGAAATGGACAATTTTCTGGAACCTTCCCATCCACATAATCACTTAGCATTTGACATGTTTCTCAAACAGGAAAACTGACTGAATCAGAACTACCACAGCTCTGGAGGTTCCACACTTGCATCTCGCATGTATCCACATCAGCCATGCAGACAGGATGCCCCAGGCCCAAGTGACCAGCACTTGGAAGAGCCCCAGCCCCACTGCCGTAAGTGTGAGGGTGGCTGCCTAGTCTCTAGGATTTCAAAGCTACTGACTCTACTGCTTGAATTCAAAGGGTATCATCCTGCTAAGTGCTTAGAGAGCAAGGACACCCCCCACTCAAGAATACTCTGAGTTGGACAAAGCTTTATCACCTGAGAAGGCTAACAAAACAATCCTCTGAGAACACCCTCTGCTTCTTTTTCTAAGCAATTTAACCTTCACTTGAGGTTAAACTGCTTCCACTAACTGGCATGTTTAGGAAGGGTCTGGAGAGTAATCAGATGCCATTACAGGTGCACTACCCACAATATGCCACCCCTCCACACACATCACATGTTAGTGTGTTATTGTGCTGTCAAGTAACACAATATTTACTCTTATTCATAAAAGTAAACTGTATGACAATTCTGCCCTGCCCCTCAGAAGCACAGAGGAAGTCTGGGTCTAGCAACTGATGTGAGCTGCCCCGAGGCTTCGGCGAATGGGGCGGCATAAAAATGTTTTAATAATAAAATAAATAAACTGAAACATACGCCAAGCATTGATACTTCCTCAGGCACAGAGCATCTGAGACATTTTCACATGAGTCTCAAGTAATCTTTTGCTCAATCAAATTTTTACTCAGAGGTAAAATCTACCCTGGCCAGGATGCTCATTCATATCACAAAGTTCTGCTTAAGCATTTTGCTCCATCAGGCACAATAAAGGAGACCAAACAGAGAGGGGCTCATTGGCTGGGCCTCCCAAACAAGAACGCCACCTGGCCACAGTGCTCCTTTGCCAGCGCCTTCTGATACAGCATCCTCTACGTGTCACTCAGCCCCAATCCACCAACCAGTGTTTAATTTCAGCTCTGTTCAGCCTGATCCAAACCATTATGAAACTTAGGTAACATTCATAAGTACCTCATTCCACGGCTCAGATAACCTCTTCCAACAGATTAATGTAGATGTTAAAAAACACAAGGAACTGGGGGAAAAAACTCTGTGGAATTAACAGACACAGAGCTGAACAGCAGCCCCCAGTTCTGGGCATGACCTAACAGGAAGAACTGGAACCACTGCAACTGAGCACCCAGCCAGACCAGCCGGTCCAGGAAAATATCATGGTCAAAAAGCCCCCAAGAAGTTTGGAAGAACTAGTAGGGCTGCACCCTGAACAGCCAGAATAGGCACTTCTGGCAAAGACATTCACTAAGGCAATGAAGCACTCTTACTCCCATATCTGGACTAAACTCAGCCAAAATAAGCAGTACTATTCAAAGGTTTTGCAGCTGTAAAACTGCCACCTTGGCCAAGAAAACCATACCTGAGACTGCCCTGTAACTTACCAGAACTGCCCTAATATTACCACTGTTTCAAGCAAGGTAGCACCAAACATTTCCTTTACCAAAGGACCCAGCACAATCAGGCTGTTTTAATTCACCAGGATGGGCAAAGCTCAAGCATGACAAATGTTGGCCCTCAGCACTCCAGGCATCCTGCCCCCTCCTACAAGATACTGAAAAGCACCAAACCAACTGGGCAAGACACTGCCATGGTTGCATCCACCTTATCTGCCCCAAAGTTGGAGTCCAAGTCAAGGTGCATCTGACCAACTTTTTCTGCAAAGAATGAGGCAAACTGCTCACGACAAATCTCCAACTGCCCTGGCTCCCTTTCTCCAGCCTGTTGCTCAAAACTTTGCATAGCAGCTTTCTGCAAAATGGCACCATTTCCATGCACACAGCCAACAAGGTGGAGCACAGCCAAGGAGGCTCAACGCATGGATGAGATGGTGGTCTAGAGAGGACGGCTTGCGATTTGATGGGCACTGGAGCACATTGTAGGACAAACCATGCCTGTACAGGAGGGATGGACTCCACTTGAACCCAGTGGAACCAGTTTGCTGGTCCATAACGTTAAAAAGGTGGCAGAGAAGCTTTTCAGCTGAGCCCTGGGGCAAGCCAAGAGAAGCTGGGAATCATCTGATTCAAATCAATACACTCCTACTGGATGAAAGGGAGGAAACTTCTGATTTCCCAGACAAAGGATGGGAGGAAACAGACATTGCTATCTTGTCTGCTATACAACAAAATGCAATGTTCCATACCAACCCCAAGATATAAGGGCCTTTGCCCAGAATTATTGGAAATCTTAAGCCTGCTCTGCATTTCATTTTGAAATTACATAATCATGCATCTTTGACCTGAAAATGTATAGAATCTAAAATTTAATTTGCATTTCATAAGTCTGTCTGGGAGAAAAACATATGGAAACATCTAGGATCAGCTTGGAAGCTCAGGCATTACCTCTCTTGGTGCAAATGCAAGTTTAGGGGACGGCAGCTATTGCCCCAAAGAATCAATTCAAACCAAGCAAGGAATGCATTCACTTTTTCATGCATCTTAAGTATAAAGACAAAATCCAAGAGTGACCTCATAGCTATAAAGACCTCATAGGCATAAAAAAGCAACCCATTGCACAATGGGGTTCAGACAGCTAGACAGGAGTCCTCCAAAAAGGGAATCATAGATTAGAGTCTTTACTTACTTCCTTGAGCTTCGTCTCTGGGCACTCCGACTGCAGAGTGAGAGTGGCTCCTTCAATGTTCCGAGGCATCGGAGTTGAGCCAGGATTGATAGTCAAATGAATCTGATCTGGAGAAATGATGTGCTGCACATAACCCTGGGACATTCCTTCATGGTCAGCTATCAAATGAAACCTGTCCTCATGATTATCAGGGAGAAAAGGCAGGTGATCCCCACACTGCCCTTCTTCATCCTCATCCTCCAGCGGCCCTTGGTCTTGTTCAATAAGAACTGTTGTCCTGTCATACACTGTCCGGGGTGAGGATGGAACAAGGCCATTCTTGTCAATAAACCTCAACAGTTTATTATCCTGGGCCAAGTCATCTTCCTCTACTTCATAATAGATGACATTCTCAGGACTGTTTTCCCCCATGGCTTAGTAAATTTCAGGTAGACTCACAGAATTAACACATGACATCTCATCTGTAAGAGAATAATACAAAACATAAAGTTATGATAGTCAGGTCAAAGTGAAGCAGAAACCCTGATCATTCAATAAGTACTGTTATTTTCCAGTTGATGCTCCACATTACTGTCCTAGGAACTTCTTGTATTTTTCTAATTTTTGAATCTTCACTTGATTTAAGTTATTTTCTTTTATTCTACTTGTTGTACATTTGCTTTGGACACCTTGCTGAATAATACAAAATTCATTTAAAAAAATAATGAAAACAAAACAAAAATAGTCATGCCAATTTTCACCTGCTATTGTACTCAAGTTTGTAAGTTTACCCCTTTACCCTGGGCCACTTGACATCGAAAGTTTTTTTCTTCTTCAAAGCTTATTCCAGATACACAGAAGACAGCTCAGGTAATGACAACACACAGGGATTTTGCAACCCCAAAACTTCGAGCAGTGCACATCTAGGTGACAGAAGCCTTCCAAATCCGCATTAAACATCAGAGCCATGGGGCATCTCGTATCGAAGGCCCACGTGCAACATAAACCATGGCTAGAATCTATATGCACATCTCAGTCTTGTCGCCGTTTTGCCCCCTTCTGCAGATCACCTGAGCCAAACAGGAGCGCAGTGGGCAGGGCAGGGCCCTGCTAGACAGGAAGACTGGGCACCATCACCACCACCCCGCCGGATGGGCAACTTCTTCAGGAATTCTGGCCTCCCTAACCCATCACCCCTCACCATGGATATGCGTGCTGGGCTGATGGAAGCTCAAGGCCGAAACACCTAGCGAGGGACAAGGAGACCGGCCTCCCCGCGCGGGGAAGCCGGACGCGGCCTCCGCCAGAGGGGGGCTGGCGGCTTGCTGCCCCGCCGGCCCTCCCGCGGGACTGGCCCTCCCCGGCCACGCGGATCCGCGCTCCAGGGCCCGACCGGCGGGGCCCGAGGGCAGGGCCAGTCCCGGCCGCCCCCGCCGGGCACACCCGCGGCGCCTCCGCCCCGCCTCACCGGCTGCTCCCCGCGGCGCGCCGAACCCGGCCCGCATCGGCGCCATGGCGCCCGGCCGGCCGGCCGCGACACGCAGCCCGGGCGCCCGCGGTCATCCGGCCTCCGCGCCTCCGCTCCCTCCGCGGGCTCCCGCAGACATCTGGCTCGCGCTTCCGCTTCCGCCTGGCGCTCTGGCCGCCGGGAGGCCGCCTCTTCCGCCCCAGAGGCGGGGCCAGGCGGGCCCGGGCGCCCCCTCGTGGAGCTCGCCCGCCGCCCGCCGCCGCGAGAGCAGCCCTCGGGGCTTCCCGGAGCGGTCGCGTCCGCGCGCCGGTGGAAACGTGGGGGGAGCTGCAGCCGGTGCCCCCGCAGCCCAGGCCTCTCTGCTTCCCCCAGGCCGGAGGGAGCCTTCGCCCCGCAGCCGACAGCCGCGGAGTGTCGCCAAAGTTCCCCCAGCGCCACCTCCCGAGGCTGCTTCTCCGGGGAGGGCCGGACCCGCCTTCGCAGTGCACCCCGAAGCCCCACCCGGAGACCCGGTCTGGAGGGCCACTGTGGTCCGGCAGCACCAGACAGATTTGACTCGAGGCCGTGGATACCCCAAATGATGGTCGGATCGCTGTGCTGCTGCTTCCAAAGCTGCCGGCACCTCAAGGAGCCACTGGCCACCTCGGAGGCCGTGATCTGGCAGCTTTCACCAGGCCAGATGAGCAAGCGAGGAGCGGGAGCGGAGGGAGTGGGCCTCGGCCCTGCGAGCGGTTTGCCCATGCCCTCGGGCTGCCCAAGCTGAAAGGCGTCCCTGGCGTGCCCCAGCCCTGTCCCCCTTGTGTTTTTTCAGAACATTTGGCCATGAGGTGTCAGCCTGTCCTCTAGCAACACCCTTCCTGAGTTGACTGGAACAGCAGACCAGAAGGAGAAGACGCGGCCGGCTTCCATGACACCCGCCCAGCTATGAGTGGTGGGCCAACAGGCGACAGGAGGACGATGGCAGCAGGTGGGCTGGACAGGTTTCTGGAAGCGCCCTCCCTTCTCCTGCAAAGGGGCCACTGTAGCCCACCGTGACGTCTCTGACGCTTTGGCACACTCGGCTACACAAGCAAACACCAGTCTCTCCACATTTGCCACTGCAGTGGCATCTTTGGATGTACTCGCATTGGTGAAGAAAGCTGTGGTCAGTGAGCTCTTGGCTGGTGGCCATGCACACGTGCTTTCCGGAGTACAAATGCCCATCCAACACCAAGTGAGAGTTCTGTGAACAATCCCTGGAAGCAGAGTTGAGTTGCATTGCTTCCCTGCCAGCAAACGGGAATGATGTACACATCCCCTTGCTTGGAAAAGGTGTCCTTTTCCATGGCTGCCCTGAGGAGGTTTTTTCTCTGACAATGTTCCCCAGATATCTAAAGCTCTTTTTTGCCTGACAGGCTTTTGATTTGTTTGATAAATGAGGTGGCACTTTGTACTTCTGGTAGCGAAGGGGTTGTTTGCTTATCGGGTGCATTGGCTGCCTCTGCATTGTCTGGTTGTGATGTACATTCAATATACGTTTTGTGAAAGCACAGCAAGCAGCCATGGGTGATTTTTCTTAAGCAGAAATGGGGGATGGAAATGTTTCTAAAAGCTGATTAAATTATCTTTGGGGAGAAGCAGACACATAAGCCAGGAACTCATCGGCGTGATGCTTTGCTCAGCGGAAGGGCCGGGCCAGGGCCTCGCTCACCTTCCAGGCACTGGCTCCTCTGCACAGTGCACCTCCGGAGCTCCGTGGTGGCAGGACACAGCGACGTCTCCCCTGCAGGCAGCTGCAGGACCCGCCGGGCACGCTCTTCGCTGCCCCTCCGGAAGCCGCACAGCCGCCGCCTCTTCAGGCAGGGCCCCCATGGGCCCCACTCACTCATTTCACAGTGTGCTGTCAAAAGAAGAGCACAAGTGAGGCGCCTCTATCTCACTGGCTGCTCACTTCTGCCTGCCGTGTTTCGGAACATTTAATGGATAATGAGCTCTCCCACAGCCTCGTCCTTCAGTGAACACATTTGGAGCTTTCTGAAAAGCGGCGAGCATGCTCTCCACAGTTTGGTGAAATTCCTGATTCTAACAGATACTGGTATTAATTGCATTACATTTATATCCTGCTGTCCGTCCTCTTGCAAAGAACTTGAGGTAGCCTACAAGGTTCCCTGGCTCAGCATTTATCTTCACGACAGCCCTGTGACAACCCTGCGACAGCCCAAAGTCACTCAGAGAGCCCCAGGCTGAGCAGGGACCAGAACCCAAGAGTGCCCAGATCCCCTGCCCAGCACTCACCCCACCACCCTGCCCCTCATCACATCCATCGGACTGTCCAGAGCTTTTGACACGTCCATTTCCCTGTCATCTCATGAGGAGTTCATGTTCCTATACTGCTCAAAAGCCAGAGATCGCCATGTGGCTTACAAAAGGTCAGCACAATATGCATTATAAAACATAATAAAAGCCACAAAGCAACTTTTAAAGGCTCAACAGTAAAAACCTCTGGATGAGTTAAAAGGCTGCCCTGCCCTGCCCTGCCCTGCCAAATGCCTGGCAGAGGGTGGAGCAGAGACTGAACCTGGCATCAAAGGACAGCAGGAGTGCCACCAGGGAGACCTCGACAGGAGAACTCCCAGAGTCAGGGAGCCCCACTGAGAAGGCTGCTCCCTCATTGCTCTCCTCCGAGATGCCCTCGCAGGGGAACCCAGGGAGGCTTCCGGACTATTATTGTAGTGTATGAGCAGCTTCTGTTGCCAAATTTCGGCTTAAATTGAAGAAAGTAGGGAAAAGCCAGGCAGGCATGATCTTGGCTCTGAGCCAGCCACATAAAAAAATCCCCAGCACTTTGGACTGGGCTCCAAAACATGCAGGCAGTTGACGCAAGTGGGCCAGGACTGATGTTACATGTTCAAACCTGGGCCCCAGAATCGTTCTGGGTGCTGCATTTGGCATAAACTGCAGCTGCTGGACTGTCTTCAAGGGCAGACCCATACAGAGCACAGAGCAGTATTCTCACTTGGAAGTGATTACATGCAGACTACTGAGCCAGTTTATCCCTGTCCTTCATGGGAAGTGAAACCTCATCCAGAACAGGATGAGCACCTCCACCTACCAGCAGCACCTTCCTCTTCTCTGGAATGACATGCATTAAGAATTCACATGTGTCTGACCTGGGGCCAGGTGCTAGAGCCAGAGGGGGAGACACCCGCCTGCTGCAACGGATGGAACTGAAGCGCTTTCCTGTTGCCCGTGCGCCTGGTAAAAGGAGTCCAGGAAGTCTTACGGGAAAGCTACAGCAGCCCCCTGTGCTGGGGAGCACGAGAAAAGCATCCTATCGTGGGCCCAGGCTTCCCTGGCCAAGCAGACCAGAGCTGCCGACGAGGGCACACGCACGCGCCACGGGCCACCTCCCGCCGGTACTCACCAGGGCTGCTGCACTCCATTGTGCTGTTGGCAGCTGAGAAGCCCTCGGGGCAGGTGGCATAGCACCGTCCTTTGTGCAAGTACAGGCCTTCCTTACACTTCGTGCAAAAGTTTCGGCTGAAACAGTCCTCACAGTTGTCAATTTTGCATTCTGTGTCCATTGGGAGAGAAATTAAAATAAGCAGCTCGAACTGCCCCTTTCAAGGCATTTTTTCCTGCCAGTCTCTAACCCTGCTTCCCAGCTGCTGGATGACTCAGAGGACCCCACAAAAGCCTTGCATTAATTATTTTGGTGGAGAGGAAAATACAACCCAAACAGGGTTGGCACATCATCTGCCACAGCAACACAAACGTCTAGAGGACCGTGTTTGGCCAGTCGGGGGGACCGTGGGGTGGCAGACAAAGTGCCCCTTTCTAGCTTGTTCAGGAGGAGGCGTGTCCGCGCGCTCTTTGCCCTCTGCTTGCGCCTGCCCTGGTTCCTCTCTCGGCCTGCATGGAATCTGAACCACTGGTGGTCGCAACCATGTGAAACTCCTGGGAAAGGAGCTTCCTCAGCTCTGCACGGCCAGCCCAGGATCCAGTGGGCACCTTTCTTATTTTCGCGTTGGCCTATTCACTTGGAAGCTTATAAACTGCCCCTTTTAAAAAGCAGTGTTTTTACCCTGGAATCCTGGTCTTGCTATGATGATGGGGCATTTTTTTCTGCCTGTTTTACAGAAAAGCCTGTTGGAAGGAACTCGGGAATTTTTTTGATATTTTTCATTCCAAATGAGCTACAACATCCATCTTTTATGTAAGTTAAAAGTAACTGAAGTTTAGATAGCTAACACCTGCATAAATGTCAATTGTCCAAAAACCAGAAATTGTGCAGAGAATATAATTAATGTAATATAATATAATATGCAGATATTAAAGGTGCTTCCAAATGGAGGACTTCTTGTGCTATCCATCAGAAAGGCTTGTTCAACAATTCTGTCTTGCTGTTGTCTTTGTGGTAGGAAAATAGTTGGAAGAAGTGTTGGGAAAACACAGGACCGCTAGAGATGGAAGCCAATGACCTGTGGTCCCTTCTTAGAATTTAGTGTTTGCAGCATGCCTGGAGCACAAAAAAAGACTGGGCCTGGAATGCTGATCAGAATGCGGGACTGGCGGCTGCAAACCCAGGGCTCTGGAGCTTCTCCTCCTTCCCCACACCCCAGAAACTCACTCATGCACTTGTTCATGTCTGGATTGCGCACGTCAAAGTAGCCCAGTGGACAGGAAGGTAGGCAGATGCCGATCTGGCGGATGTCGCTCCGCTCCAGTAAGATGAAGAGTTTGGGGGAGCACCTGAGGCACCCGTTGAACTCGGAGCACAGGTCACACCCCTTTGCACAGCCCCGGCTCTTCTCCGTGCTGACTGGAAGAGGCAGAGAGAAAGGCACACGACAGAGCGGGCCCCTGTCAACTTGCAGATATGACAAGCAGCCCCGGGTTGCATGTCTAGGAAATGAAATGCCCCTCTCCGTGGCTGGTGGGTTTCCAGAAGAAACCAGTTTTAAAGTGCTTTCCCTCTTTAGAGACTGGCCCTTTTTATTTGTTGAAGAGAATCAGTGAATTCAGATCTGTGGAGAGAGCCTAACCACAGATGCTGCTCTCCATGTTTCCTTTGGTCGCCTGCAGCTGGAAGGCTGCTTTGAGCTCACATGCTGGAGCAGATTCCATGGAGCAGCGTTCCTTGTAGACCTGCCACTCTGGCAGAATCTTCAGAGTGCAAGCCGCCAGTGGCCCGAGGCATTATTAGAGATGAATTTCTGCATTCCATGCTGTGGCAGCATGCAGGGAACAAGGCTGTGATTTCTGGAAGAGAGGGCAAAATACCTCGCATTCAAGGGATGCCGTTCCTAGCTGAGCTCTGCCCTTTGAGCAAGGTTGGCTGACTGCTGTCAGGATGCCATGCAACCCTGGAATTGAGGAACCTCAGGCTGCCATGTGCCATAATCTGAGGATGGTTTGCTTCAGATTCTGGAACAGTTATTTCAGCCCAAGCTAGTGGCTAGCCATGCAGGGTGGGTAGCTTTTCACCCTCCCCTTAGCAACAATATGCAGCTTGACATAGGATCCCACCCTCCAACAGCCTGGAGGGAAGCCTGAGATGGACTAGGGCTGGAATGCAGCACTTTCACCCACAGCTGTGGCCATGAGTAATACAGGATTTTGACTGCACATGGAAGGCAAGCCATGGTCAGAAGCAAAGCACTGCGAGGAGCTTTGTTGGGACTCTCTGGAACTGCCCTTTTCCCGCAGGTCTCTAAGCACTGGGTGTCTGGAAGATGTGAGGTATTGCCCTTGCAAAACCCAAGAGGAAAAGCGAAGACGAAGCAGTGGCTTCCTCTCTCCCCACTCTGCTCTACTAAGCCTCCAGGCGGGCTTCCCTCTCCAAAATCTTTTTGTTGGAAGCACAAGACGTGGCACAAGCCCAGATCTGGGGACAGGCTCACTTCTGGGCCCTTAAACTGGGCCAACAAAAACATCCACTCTTAGGTCTGTGCTGCTTTCTGGTATCAATTATCATGGACAACTCAGCCTGATTTTTAAACAAATTGTCACAGGTTATTTATGCCAGTTAATTGTGCAAGCATCAACTTTTGTTTATAGCAAGACTCCATCTTTTTTCTTTTTTACTTCACTTTAAACACATTATTTCTTCATTCTCCAAAGCAAGTGCTTCAGCATTCCTGTGAATCCAAAGCCCTGGTTTCTTAGAGGCAGAACAAGGGTGCTTGGATAAGGAGCGCATGTATGAAATTAGAAACATAGAAACAGAGCGAGTCAGAAGGGGCCTCCCGGGCCATCTAGTCTGACCTCCGGCACCAGCCGGCTCCACTCAGGACATGCCCACCATGTGGACGTCCAGCCTATCCTTGAACACCCGCACCGATGGGGCCTCAACCACCTCCATGGAAGCCCATTCCACAGCCTCGGGGTCCCGACTGTCAGGAGGTGCTTCCTGGCATCCAAATGGATAGGCTGTTTGGATCCCCTTTTTCAAAAACAGCCCAGCCTTGACAGCTGCCAAGGGCAAAGGGGAGCAAAGCGTGGGTGGGGCAGGCAGCATTTTCCCTCCTTTTGAGCACTTAGGAAGGGCAGAGAAGTTGCGCTCGGACAACTCAGCTGCCCACCATGGCCAGTCACCCGCGACAGGTCCTGTGTGCAAACCGGGGACAAGCAGGCCTCCTTGCTCCCCTTCCACACTCACTTGGTTTCGCAGGCTCTGTTTTATTTTTTACTGCTCTGCAGATGGTCTGTTTTGTGCAGGACGGCACATCTAGCTGGGTTTTCTTTTCCCTCGCACCAAGCCAGACTGACTAGAAGATTCCACTCCCCTTGCAGCAGCGCATGCATAACATTGTGGGGGGGAGGGGGTTAAAGGGGGTGGAGGGCAATCACATTTCGCATGGCTATTTGGAGGCTTTTCCCTCTGCCCATGGAAGTGCCCATCCAGTTATTTTCGAAATGCCGCCTTGTCCTCCCACCCCCACCGTCACCCCCACTTCGCATTCCTCTTTGGGAAATGCACAGGTGGCGTCACAAAGCCGAGGCAGCACTCGTGCCGCCCTCAGGCCATGTGAGGAATGCAGTGCTGCCCTCAGAAACTTCCCTCTTGGTCTCAGCGAGTTTGTGAGCTCTGAGCAAGCTGCAAACAAGCCCTGGATGAGTCGTTGTATCGCTTTTATTGTGGGAAGGGGAGGCACGGTTTGCTCTTGTCCACCCCACCTAGAGGGCCGGCGTGTTCTTGTTACCCACAGGTCTGCAGGTGCCTGAAAATGCAATGCAAGAATTGCACGAGCCAGGCTGGCTTCCCGGCCACGCTTGCCCTCATACGTACTTCGTCTGTGCCGCTTGCCCTTCAGTGCCTTGGTGCTGTTGCTGCTGCTTGAGAGATCCACCAAGCTTAGGGAAAGCACCACCACACACAGTCCAAGCTGCATAGTAACTTCCCTTCGGCACAGCCCTGAAGGCAGAGGGACTGGCGGCGGGCTCTGGTCCTCAAACGGATGATGGCGTAGGACTCCTCTTCCTAGGAGGTCTGGGGCTTGATCAGAACCATGAGTCTGTACACGATGCCTGGTAAGAGACCATCTTCACAAACCAAGATCATGGCCACAAACCATTAGGTTGCGGATAGCGTGCTTCTGTTTTCAGTCCCATAAGGAGTGTGAGATGCTGCAGGTAATGGTCCCATCTGGGGGGGCCACACAGAGCGATTACAGAGCTGCTTGAAGCCCTTCTGCTTGTACCAAGAAACTGGAAGAGAAAAAGCCAGCTGGTTAACTGTGCTTCAGCTCTGACCGCCCCTCCTTCCCGCTCAACTCTTTTACTACTGGGCGACCTCCTGTTAGCACCTGCTTGCTTTTCTTAAAGCCAGCGAGGTTGTCCGGGTCAGTCTCCAAGGCTGATGGCCGTACCACCTCCTCTGATGACAGCCGCAGTGACCCCTGCACTCTGTCACTTGCATGCTACACACCAGGGAGGCAAGCAGGCGGAGGGGCTGGCGGCAGGGCGAGTGCGGGTGTTCCGCAGAGGGCGAGCGGCTCTCCCATCCGGGTGCGTGGAGCTCCTTGCCAGACCGCTGCTGTCTCATAGTGGCAAGCAGCCTGGGAAAGGAACGGCAGGGCCCTGGTTTTCAGCCAGGCACTGCTCCAAGCCCCCAGCAGGCAGGAGGTCGGCACAGTGATGAGCCCAACCCCTGCTGGAGTCCAGAGCACCAACGCGAGGGCCTGCAGGCAGGCTGGTAGCGGTGTGCAAAACAGCAGCCCAAGAAGCCAAGGCCACGCAGGTGGTGGCAGAGACCAAACGACGGCGGTTGACCCTGGAGTCATACAGATGGCGTGGAACCTTCTCTTGGCACTTGTGCTGTCGCTCCCCAGGCAGCTGCCAGATAGGCCTGGTGTCAAGCATGTGTTTGCACTTAGAGCGACACTGTATCATTACTCTCGTCTGTGTCGTGCGTGTCAATTTCAAATAAACAATTAGCTGTTTGTGTAAATCCTGCCTAACTTTGGGCTCGGAGGGCCATTTGATCCCCACATTGCTCTCCGGGCCTCGAGCTTCCTTGGCGAAGCACAGCCTCCTCCTGAGCAGAAGGAAGGACAGTCCTCCGGAAGGAGGGTGCAGGCATGTGCTGGCGCATCTGCACGGGGAGGTCCGAGGAGCCTCGCTCGGATCTGCTGCCCCGCTGTGTGCCCGCACGACAAAGCAGCCTAGAACACAGCGGCACCCCATGCCCTCCACAGGGGTGCAGGGCAGAAAAAGCCAGAGCGAACGCCGGCAGCAGCCCCTCCCCCTTGTTTCGCTGCCTGTGGTGCCTCATCCTGTCCGTGAGCCCCACAGACTGAAGCCTGGTCCAGGCAAGATGGCGATGCCATAGCAAGTGGCTCATTGGCCCAGCCAGGGAGGTGCAACCTAACCTAGCGGGGGCTACACTCAGGCACAGTCGCTTGTGGGTGCTCCTGGAGCGATCTCTGCCCTCAGGGCCCTGGCGGTCTGAACGGCTCTCATCGGTTTGTGGGGACATGCCAACTGGGACCCTGTGCAACATGCTCTGGGCAAGCTCACCCAACCATGGCCCAGGCACCAGGTTGGAAGATCTACCCCGTGCTTGAGACAGGGAACAAAGGATGTCACATGGCTCAAAAGGCGGGATGTGGTCTCCTCCAGGGCAGGCTGAACACCGCTCAGCTGGGCAACAGCCCAGCTCCTGAAGGTGCAGCCCTCTTCCTTGGAAGAGACTCAGTTGATGGCTACCGTCAAGTCCAGCACTGCTCTGAGGCTCCAATTCACAGCACCTGCTGCCTTGCCTGGATTTGAGGAAAGGGAGAGTCAGGGTTGGGTATCACCCTGGACAGGCTGCATGTCCAGATAACTTTCCCATTTCAGATGGATGCTGAGCAACATGAGAGCAGGGAGATGAAACGGAACCCCACCGAACACCATGACTAAGGCACAAAACAATAATCTACCAGCACCACTTTCTGGAATTGGCCATCCAAGTAGGAATAGAACCAGTGCAATGAAGTGCCTCCAGCACCGAGCCTGTGCAGAAGGAGAACACAGGCAACAGTACCAAAGGCTGCCAAGAGGTTAAAGAAAATCATAAGGGTTCCCCATCCATCTGCCAATGAGAGATCTAGGAAGTTTCTACGCAAAACACAGGTCCGGAGCTGGATGACCACAGATTCAGTCCATCTGTTTCATGAAGGGTGTCTGCAGTTGGCCAGCCATCACCAGACGAGGCAATGCCTTTGAGGACCAACTGAAACATCTGTGCAATCACTGTCCAGCCAGTCTTCCATCTCCTAGCTGTGCTCACAGCCAGCCGGGTGAAGAGCTCCGGGGACCACCGGTGTGCCACGCTGGCCCTGGCCCTGGCCCTGGCCCTGGCCCTGGCCCTGGCCTGAGGCGAGGCAGGCCTGCCACCTGTCAGGCGCATGCATCCCACACGTGACATGGAGCTGGAGCATCTTCTTCCCTTGGGGGGTCACCAGCTGCATTTGGTGATCCACATGGGAATGAATGACACAGCCAGGCAGGAGATGGGTGGAATTGCTAGGGACTTTGAGGCTCTGCGCAAGAAACTCAAGGACCTGAAGGTGCAGGTGGCTTCGAAAGTCCGATGCTGTAAAGATCTATACTCCATAGGAACCTGGGATGTAAGATCCATGAATCAAGGCAAGCTGGACGTGGTCAAACATGAGATGACAAGACTGAACATCAACATCTTAGGAATCAGTGAACTATAATGGACAGGAATGGGTGAGTTTAATTCGGATGACCATCAGGTATACTACTGCAGGCAAGAATCCCTCAGAAGAAATGGAGTAGCTTCATAGTCCATAAAAGAGTAGGAAAAGCAGTACTAGAATCTCCAAAATGACAGAATGATCTCAGTTCGAATCCAAGGCAAACCATTCAACATCACAGTAGTCCAAGTTTATGCCCCAACCACTGGTGCTGAAGAAGCTGAAGCTGACCGGTTTGATGAAGGCCTACAACACCTTCTAGAAATAACACCAAAAAATGATGTCCTTATCATCATGGGGGATTGGAATGCTAAATAGGAAGCCACAAAATAACCAGAAAAACAGGCAAGTTTGGCCTTGGAGTACAAAATGAAGTAGGGCAAAGGCTGGCAGAATTTTGTTAAGAGAATACGATGGTTATAGCAAACACTCTTTTCCAACAGCCCAAGAGACGGCTCTACACATGGGCATCACCAGATGGTCAGCACAGAAATCAGATTGACTATGTGCTCTGCAGCCAAAAATGGAGAAGCTCTATACCAGGGGTTGGCAACCCACGGCTCCGGAGCCGCGCGGGGCTCTTGAACCCCCCTGCTGCAGCTCCGTGGCTAAGCTGGCACAGCCGCTGATCTGCTCGAAGCTCCACTCTGAACGCAGCGCTAGCTAGTTAAGTAAATCAGCTAGTTAAGTAAATCGCTACATTCCTCTGCTATTGTGGAACAAGCTTCCTGCAGGCTCTCATGTTACACAAAACGCTGCTGAAAAGATTCTCTTTATCCAAATGTAATCTCCTTCATCTGAATGTTAAAAGCTGTGCTTGGGACCTGTCACAATTCACAGCACTTGACTGTTTATCTGCTAATCAGTCAGTCACTAAACACACCTGTATCTCTGGCACAGCTGGGGATCTGTGACCCACCGATTTACTGAACCCCCCCCCCCCCCGCCACCCACCCCCAGGCCAACCATGGATAAATCTAAGAAAAGTTTCTGAAGAAAACCGAATGTTTAATGGCACGTGGGTAGGTTCACTTGCTTTTACTGCTGACGAACTTATGTGGTTTGCTGTTTAATGCAGGCAGCCCTTTAGCACTGACTTTCACTCTGCAGGAAGCTGTTCTCCTATTCAAAATATATGAAAGGAGTCCTACTAGTTTATAATGTAAGATTAAAAATAACAGTTTTTAGTGACTGAACAAGAGCTGCAGCTAAATCATAATGAAGATATAGATCTACTTCCTTGTTTTAAGAATAATCTTATAAAAATTCCAGCAACATTATCACATTGGGCGAGGGATGTTTGTTCAATATTTCGCCAGACTATTATTTATATTTGTTGTATTGCAGAAACTCTACTTACTGTATGAAAGCATCAGTTTGTCCTTTTTTTATTCAGGTTGACAGCTGACTGCACCCTCCAGTCCACATGATAAAAGGATGAGGGCACACAGAAGCAGAGGGCATGTTTGGTTTGCTGCAGGTGGATAATTTAAGTTCGGCTTTTTATTTCATAAATATGAGGAGGACTCAAATAGACATTGAGTGTTTTATTTGAAAGTGGCTTTCAATTCAGCATCTTTTTTTTTTTCGGAGTTCAAAATGTTTTTGTTGCATGCAGAAATAAAAATTTGTTTTCTCTGTAGCAGTTCATTGATTTCATAAATGCACACACTATAGTTTTTTTATACATAGCATAAAGGTAAAAAACGATATATGCAGTGTTATCTTCATTTTAGATGTCAAAAGGGTTTTGCGGCTCCCCGTGTTTTCTTTTCTGTGGGAAACGGGTCCAAATGGCTCTTTGAGTGTTAAAGGTTGCTGACCCCTGGGCTAGATGAATTACCAGTTGAAATTAAGTTTGCTGGGAGAAATATCAACAACCTCAGATATGCAGATGATATCACTCTAATGGCAGAAAGTGAAGAGCCTCTTGATGCGGGTGAAGGAGGAGAGCACAAAAGTTGGCTTGAAACTCAACATTAAGAAAACTAAGATCATGGCATTCGGTCCTATCACTTCCTGGCAAATAGATGGAGAAGAAATGGAGGTAGTGACAGATTTTATTTCCCTGGGCTCCAAGATCACCACAGACGGGGACTGCAGCCAAGAAATTAAAAGACACTTGCTCCTGGGGAGGAAAGCTATGGCAAATCTAGACAACATACTAAGAAGCAGAGACATCACCCTGC